CGGGGCAGAGGCGGTGCTGAGGGCCAGGGTTTGGGGGTGGGATGGCAGGGGTAGGGGAGCGGTTGGGCTGGGGGAGCTGAAAGGGCTTTTCCAACCTAAACCATTCCTGGATTCTGTGACCTCAGCTCAGAGCAGCTACGAGAAAGTTTCCCACGTGATTTTCACAGCCGATCTTGGGTCCGACTGCAAGCCCTAAAATCAGCTTCGATGTCTCCCCTGGGCATCCACAGACTCATTTTCTGGGGGTTCTGCCCAAAGAACCTCGATGGATTGACCGTTACCCAAGTTGTCTTTTGCCTCCCGTCTCACCCTTGGCCTCACCTCGCTGTGCTTTGCCGGGCCATCGCAGTTTGTCGCTTCCCCGTGGATCTGCGCACCTCCCGCCATCCTCGGGGAGCGTTGGGTCAGGCGCTTCAGCGAAATGATTTCTTGTCCAACTCCAGGTCTCGACAATCAAGAGAGGACACCTGAAAATAGGAAGCGGTACAGTGAGATATTCCGGAGCCTGGATGCCATAGAAATCTCACTTGGAAATGCGTACGTAAAGAAACGGGACTGAAACAACTTTTCTGGGTCTTTGTAACCTTCATTTATTTAATTGCCCTCTTGTTCGTCATGCAGGGCGGTCGATATGTTCATCGGTGATGCCGACAGCGTCGACGACGTGGACCTGGCCACAGAAGGAGAGAGCGTCCCGGTAGGCAAAGAATGAGACCCATTTTATTAAAGAAATCATAGAATCATCAAATGGTTTGGGTTGGAAGGGACCCCTAGAGGTCACCCAGTTCGACCCCCCTGCAGGGAGCAGGGACATCTTTAACCAGATCAGGTTGCTCAGAGCCCCGTCCAACCTGGCCTTGGATGTTCCCAGGGATGGGGCCTCCATCGATATCTGTTGCCAAAGTGCTTGAGTCTATGACGTTAAATTCTACATTATTAAAATTGGGGCTTGGGTGATCATCTGAAAAAAAAAAATACAATTACAGCTCATCCTTGAGTTGACAGAAAAGAACCATGCAATGCGTGGTGGTAGCAGCCACGGAGCCGATGATATTTACTGGAAAGGCTCAGGCATTTGCTGTTTAGATTCCTATTTTTTGGAAAAACTAGCCGTGGAAATCACTGGTTTAAGTTTGGAGCCCTAGGAAAAAGACCAGGCAAGAGAGCGAACCCAATGTAGGTGTGGGAGCCACGCCTCAGAAACCTCGGCCTGAAGGAACAGGAGACCTTCAGGATTGAACTTCATGGGTCTTTGCTTGCTTCTATGAGGCTTTTGGGGACAATCAGCCTCATTTCATGCTTTTCTCTATAAACAAAAGGTCTAATTTTTCGCTGGCGACGACCGTTCTCATGTAATCACATTATCCCATGAGCTAAACTCAACAACAAACCCCAAATATTTTGTGCTTTATAGTAAAATAAGAGCCACAGCCCCTTTCCAGCCTTCATCTCCCCGCCTTAACGACGCGCTTCCTCCGCGTTTCCGTTTGTAGCCGGCTTTCACCCCACGCAACCTCCCCTCCGTCCGATCTCAGGCTGCTTTTTAACTGCCCCGGGTTGCTTCGTTATGCAAAGTCGGCCCTGCAGCCGGAAAGTCCAAATTGCTCAATACTCCTTTTTCTCTCCCCATTTTCCTCTTTTTTTTTTTTTTTTTTTGTTGTTTTTTTCTTTCCCCCTCCCCACAGAGCAGCTCAAGTTTCTGCGAGAGCAAAACTGGTTCAGAGAGGCAAGGGCAGGCGGACATAACAGGTAACACTGCTAATTAAATTCAAAAACAAGATCAAAGAGGTGACACGAGAACCCCCCACCCCCCACCCTCAATCACCCGGCATCCTCCTAACGCCGCGGATGACAGTCTCCCATAGCATTCTCCTGGAGAAGCTGGCGGCTCATGGCCT